TAATATTTTCCTATGAACATCAGCATGTATTTAAAATATAATGGTTTACTACTAAATTATGTTGAACAAAAATATTAAAATATAAAGCATATTTTTTCTATGAGGTTTATAAGATATACTCTATTTCCTTTTTTTAAACCCTTTTGGAAAATGAGTGAATAATGGCTTTTCATTGTTTAACTCACTATAATGAAAATTTCTATTATTTCCAATAAAACTTTATTAAATGATATGTTATCATTTACTTATAGATAATGATAAATCTAATACAACTTGATAAATGTGACATGTTATCATTTATCCATAGATAATGACATTTAAGACAAGTCAGATACACCAAGAGACTGATCTTATAATGAGTCTAATTATAAACTTTAATGAATTTTTTTCTAACAGACATTTTAACATGATTTGACTAAGAATAAAAATGAAAGCAACAGGGTTTCATGATGCCTCTGTTGCTTGTAACATCAGAAGACAGTTGTAAACTCCATGTCTAACTCATATGCTGTGTTCTAGCACCCAATACAGCATGAACAGACAGTGGCGGCTGAGTAAGAACTTATTGAATGATCCCTGGCTGGTGTAGCTCAGTGGATTGAGCACAGGCTTACAAACCAAAGGATTGCGGTTCAATTCCCAGTTAGGACACATGTCTGGGTTGCAGGCCAGCTCCCAGTAGGGGACCCATGAGAGGCAACCATACATTGATTTTTCTCTTCTTCTCTCCTTCCCTTCCCCCCTTAATAATTAAAAAAAATCTTTTAAAGAACTTATTGAATGAATGATTTCCTCAAGAGGGTTATGTTTGATGCCACCTACTAAATAGGCAAGTGTTGGAAGCAACCTAAGTGCCCATCAGTAAACGAGTGGATAAAAAAAACAACTGTGGACTTCTGGCCAAGATGGAGGCATAGGTGCAAATACTGTACCTCCTGGTACAACCAAATTTAAGGACAACAAAGATTTAGAAACAAAAACACAACCAAAACAGACAGAAAATTAAACTGTACCAAAGTCCAACAACAACGAACCATTCATCCAGAGTGGTAGGAGGGGCGGAGAGGGGTCCCTGAAGGAAGAGGTGGTAGTTAGTGGACCCAGGCCTGAGCAGGGACAAAAACCCAGTGAGGCGAGCAAGGTGGCTGGCTGACCGTGGATACACATTCGCACACAGATAAACCAGGCAGGCTTAAAAACGGTCAGTGAAACAGACCACATAACCCAGGACGCCTGCAATGGTAAATAAAGCCTAAAAGCACCAATTGGAAAAACTTTTGGAAGCCCTGGCTGGCATAGCTCAGTGGATTGACCTTGGGCCTGCAAACCAGAGTATTATGGTTCAATTCCCAGTCAGGGCACATGCTTGGGTTGCAGGCCAGTTCCCAGCAGGGGACGAATGAGGCAACCACACATTGATATTTCTCTCCCACTCTTTCTCCTTCCCTTCCCCTCTCTTGAAAAATAAATAAATAAAATATTTTAAAAAAAAACTTTCAGGATTCAGGAGTTGAGGTGCTGAGAGAGGCTCCTAGCCTCACAGGAGAGTTTGCTGGTGAGACCCACAGGGTACTAGAATGTACACAAGCCCACACAGCCAGGAACCAGCACCAAAAGGGCCCAATTTGCTTGTGGGAAGCAGCAGAGGGGACTGAAATCTGAGAGAGTGTGGAACAAGCACCACTGCTCCCTCTCTGACCCCGCCCCCACATACAGCATCACAACCCAGCAACTTGGGTTGCCCCACCCTAGTGAACAGCTAAGCTCCACCCTTCATATGTAACAGGCGAAAACAGACCAAAACATTATGGCTCAAGCAAAAGAGCAGCTCAAAGCTCCAGAGCCAATACTTCTAAGAGACAAAGAGATAGCCAACCTATTGGATGCACAGTTCAAAACACTGGTGATCAGGATGCTCACAGAACTGGTTGATTTTAGTCACAAATTAGATGAAAAAATGAAGGCTACACTAAGTGAAATGAAGCAAAATGCACAGGGAACCAACAGTAGTGGAAAGAAAACTGGGACTCAAATCAGTGGAGTGGACCAGAAGGAAGAAAGAAACAACCAAACAGAAAAGAATGAAGAAATAAGAATTCAAAAAAAAATGAGTAGAGGCTTAGAAACCTCCAGGACATCTTTAAATGTTCCAACATCCAAATTATAGTGGTACCAGAAGGGGAAGAGGAAGAGCAACAAGGGGAAAACTTATTTGAACAAATAATAAAGGAGAACTTCCCCAATCTGGCAAAGGAAATAGACTTCCAGGAAATCCAGGAAGCTCAGACAGTCCCAAAGAAGGTGGACCTAAGGAGGAACACACCAAGGCACATCATCATTATATTAGCTAAGATTAAAATGAAGGAGAGAATTCTAGAAGCAGCAAGAGATAAGGGGACAGTCACCTCCAAAGGAGTTCCCATCAGACTGTCAGCAGATTTCTCAGAAGAGACCTTTCAGGCAAGAAGGGGCTGGAAAGAAGTATTCCAAGTCATGAAATCCAAAGACCTACAACCAAGATTGCTGAATCCGGCAAAGCTTTCATTTAGAATGGAAGGACAGATAAAGTTCTTCCCAGATAAGATCAAATTCAAGGAGTTCATCATCACCAAGCCCTTATTATATGAAATGTTAAAGGGATTTATCTAAGAAAAAGAAGATAAATAATATGAACAGTGAAAGGACAGCAAACTCACAGTTATTAACAACCACATCTAAAACAAAGCAAACTAAAAGGACAGCTAGATCAGGAGCGGAAACAGAAATGAAGATCACATGGAGGGTTAGCAACAGGGGAGTGGGAGGAGGAGAAGGGGAGAGAATGTACAGAGAATAAGTAGCATAGATTGTAGGTAGAAAATAGGGGGAGGGCAAGAATAGTATGGGAAATATAGAAGCCAAAGAACTTGTGACATATGGATATGAACTAAAGGGAGGAATGTGGGGGGAGGGGTGTGCAAGGTGGAAGGGAATGAAGATGGGGGAATGGGACAACTGTAATGGCATAATCAATATATATACATGACTATGGTACATTTACACAGTGGAATACAATGCAGCAGAAAGAAAGAAGGAGGTCCAAATTTTGCCACAGCATGGATGGAACTGGAGAGCATTATGCTAAGTGAAATAAACCAGGCAGTGAAAGACAAATACCATATAACCTCCCATAAGTGGAACCTAATCAACAAAACAAGCAAGCAAAATATAACCAGAGACAATGGAATTAAGAACAAAATGACAGTAACCAAAGGGGAGGTGAGAGGGGGATAATGGGGGGGAAAGAGGAAGGTTAGTAGGATTGAGGATGGGAGATGGGGATTCCTGGGGTGGGGGGGAGTTGTGGGGGGAAATGGAGACAATTGTACTTGAACAACAATAAAAAACTAAGCAAATAAAGACCTAGTGTCAGGATTTTGTTTCTTGTTTTGCTTTGTTCTCTCACATTTATGAGAAGAGAAATAAGTCTGTAGAACTGTATTATTCTTTTCTTAATTATGCCTCTGCGAAGCCAAAGATTTAAATAAATAAATAAATAAATTCCTAGTATTTTTTAAAGTGTCTTCTCCCTGATGGTTGTAGAATACACCCCCACTCCTTATCTGAGGTGTTACTAAGGCAGCTGTCCTCTAATTAAGGAGTCATGACCCTTTTGTGCACAGGACACTACCTTGGGGGTAAACCCCCCTTTGACTTTTGGAGAGCAAACATGGTTACATTTTGTACGTAGTTGAGCCCTGTAGGGAAGAACCAGCAGGGACAAGTGATGTGGGAATGAATGTCATTGCTCATACCTGGCAGGTGTGTGACCACCACCAAGGCTGTCACTTGAGCCGTGTGTTCACGATCTCATCTGACAGCACTAGTTTCTTTCCCTGTGGGGGTTCAGTTCTGGTCCCAACCCCATACTCAGTCCTGTACATTACCCTTCAATTTCATCCTTACCACCATGACTCCCCTCCAAGTTTGCCTGGGAGGGTTCCAGCCTATGCCTTTCCTCCAGGTGTAATCACTGATAGTGACCCTCTCCAGTTTTACTTTCTACCAGTATACATGACAAATGACATGGATATTCTATTTTAGCACCCATTAAACACAACTCCAGACTTATTTTTAACCAACTATTATTTATTTTTTTAATTTAAGATGCAACACTATACTTACCTATTTTTTCTCCTTTTTCTTTTCCCACTGCTACAAACATTCTCAGTTTTTTAGGATTTACCTTTTAATTTTACCCGTATTACTAGGTTTTGCTCTCAGCCCTGAAAGTACTTCCTGGCAACAGTACTTAGTTAAATTATTAAGGGACTTTGTGTAGCTTCAATAATTATATTATATTATATTATATTATATTATATTATATTATATTATATTATTACTGGGCATTTAGAAATTCAGGGATGGCATTTAATGAAATATTGTTCTGCAAAGACTACATTGTAAAAGTGGTGGTAGATGCAGTAGCCTGGTTATTTTAAGTGGGTTTATGAGTAAGGAAGACAATAATTGTTTTTAAGTGTTCTTCTGTAATAATTCAACCATAGTGTATGACGTCCAGGCTCTATTTTGTTTTCTACCTATTTATCTATCCATGTATACATCTATCTATACATCTATCCATCCATCCATCCATGCATCTATCCGTTCATCTACCCATCCATCCATCCTAACTACTTTAAGCAGAGCCAGCTTTCTGCAAAAATAAAAATCCAGCAATGTTCATTTTTACCACCTGTGTTGCCCAAAGCAGCTTCCAAGGATCATAGTGTTTTCCCCTTTGAGTTCACATGAATTTCCACAGAGCATCATTTGACAAATGCCCTAATCCAAATGGAACTGTTCCCCTGAAGAGAACTCCAGACCATAGAAGTCAGGTGGGTAGAAGACAAGGAGAATATTAGTGCACTTACAATCACACCACAGGCAAGTAGCTTCTTGCCCCACCAATTCATCAGATTGCTCCTAACTCTCAATATCACACAGTTCCAAAACTACACTGAATTTGATGCTTTTATTGAGCAAATTTTTATGAAGGAATTTTAAAAATTATTGGCCCTGAGGCATATCTTCATCAAGCCCACATTTTCTGCTAGTGAGCAAGTTTTCTCTGATGTTGGCACTTTCCTCATACTTTTTTGTAGACTCGTGTGCTGACAACATTATTCATGGTATGTTTCTAAAAGCAAAGAGGCATTTGTTAGAGCTGGTGGCTGACAGGTTAAACTTTCTGTGCCCCTCTTCCCCAGACCCTCGAATCAGGATGCAGACAGAGCAACTGAGCAACTTGAGAGGCTTACTTCAAATAGGAGCATCTAAAAAGTTCCATTTAGAGGAAACTCACCGCTACCATTTTTCCATCTATAATTTGTCTTTTGATTGTTGTCTCTTTGCCAAGCCACTTTTGGACATGGACCAGTGAGTCACCGTCTAGGGTTATGATGCTCTATAAATGTGTAAAGGAATCAGTTAGAAATAGCAGCTCACTACATTCTAACCTCCATAAGACTACTTTTTAATCTCTATTTTTTAATTTTTTCCTCCAAAATCCTCACTTCAGTTCTTGTTATAATTTAATGCCAGAAAACTAGAAAAGTCTCAAGAGATTGTTCAATTAATGCCCTCCTCCACCAAATGATGCACAAACTATTTGTGGATAATTGTTTTCCTTTATATGCTTTTTTATGCGATGGCAAAGAGATATCTGAAAAAAAGTGGAAAACATGTTCATTTTTTTGCTCTGTTAAACATCAGAATGATTTACAAAAATACTGGCTTTGAAGATGTACAACATTAGTGAATAAAACAAGCCCTGACTGACTTTGTAATTAATCAAATTAGATATGAATAAAACTTTCCCAACCACCTTCTTGGTTTTTCCTGATTGGGAAACATCAGGATGATTTGTTACTTGCCTTCACTTTCCGGTTATCTGCTGTGGTTTCATCAAACTCTTCCCCTAGCTTGAAGGAGATCTCGACGTTCTTGAAAGAGCTCTCTGTTTTGATGCTCACCTTATCCCCATTGGTGCTAATACTGATTTTTGGCTTCTCTAATGCAGCTAGGTGCCGGATTGTAACAGGCACTCCTGTAACACAAAGAAAGCAGCAGCCCTTCTTAAGATATTTAGGAAGAAGTGCTAATAATTATTTTGGAAGCAATTTAAAAAGAATGCATGCTTTCGCCATTGATGTTTTGAATAATGTGAGGTAATTTCTTCAATGTTCTCTGTCATGAGTGAATCAAGTCAGACTCTCCCAATCAGAGTGTATATCTGGTAATTATGCTTGCTATTTTGCAAAGCTAACTTCACTTTTTTTGAGACTATGCTTCATCTAAAGTGAGTATTTGTATAATGCCTTCCAGATAATCAGATGCTAGTATAAAGGATGTCATTATCCTCATTTTGGAGATGAGGACACAGGATCCCAGAGAGTTTGGGAGGCTCACTCTAGGTGATATGTCTGGTGAGTAGCAGAGCTGAGACTTAAACACAAAATTTCTAATTTTTAAAGTATTTTAGCATTTTTTCTTAAAAAATCAAGAAGTACAATCTTCAAGATACCTAAACTTCTTTAAAAGAACATGACTTAAAAAGTTCAAGCACCTGTCTCATTTGCAGGTTCAATCCCGTCTTGCTGAGGAGGTGGGAAATAATGATTTGGCTAAGAACCTGGCCCTGATGTTCATGTTGGGACAGTCCATTGTCCAACTTGATCTCTATAGGAGGTCCAGAAGAGCTGACTCAAATCAGCATCAAAATCAGACTTATTTCACGTTCAGATTATGGAATGACAGGACCATCTGACTTCAGAGAAGCAGTGTTAGACATGTGTCCTAGAAGAGGCAAGGGTGATGTGGTTAAAGCCCAAGCTCCAACTTTGCCAGCTTTGGCACATTATCTCAATAGTCAAATGTGCACAGCTATAGGACTTACCTCACAGGTGTGTGTGTGGCAGATGAAGTAGAAAGGTTTACATGGTAAGTGGCACATAGTAGGTTCTCAGTTGTTAGGCCCTCTTGCCTCTGCCTAAGCCCAACTCCAAACCAACACAAACGCTTTTGCCAGAGGTCCCAAGATTCTTAGATACCCCCAAATTTAAGCTCAAAACAGGTGAGTTTATGAATCCATGAAGAGATAGAAAAATATTTTTCTAATTAGTCCCTGAGAAGTTAATACAGATTATGAAAAAATACAAATATTGTATTATGAGCACATTGACTTCTTACGTTGCACTGCAGACTAGTGCAGCCACTGTGGAAAACAGTATGGAATTTCCCCAGAAAACTAAAAATGGAACTGCTTTTTGACCCAGCAATTTCACTGCTGGGAATATACCCTAAGAATCCTGAAACACCAATTCAAAAGAACCTATGCACCCCAATGTTCATAGCAGTACAATTTACAATAGCCAAATGCTGGATGCAACCTAAATGTCCATCAGTAAATGAGTGGATAAAAAAACTATGGTACATTTACACAATGGAATACTACCAACCAGAAAGAAAGAAGGAGGTCCTATCCTTTGCAAAGGCTTGAATGGAACTGGAGAGCATTATGCTAAGTAAAATAAGCCAGGTGGTAAAAGATAAACACCATATAATCTCACCTATAGGTGGAACCTAATCAACAAATCAAACAAGCAAGCAAAATAAAACCACAGGCACTGAAATTAAGAACAAACTGACAGTAACCAGAGAGGAGGTGGGAGGGGATGGGGGGGAAATGGGGAAAGGGTTTTCAGGAACAACTGTAAAGGACACAAGGACAAAGTCAAACTGGGGTAGGATCAAGGGTGGGAGGTGGGGGGGGATTGTGGGAGGGAAATGGAAACACCTGTACTTGAACAATAAAAAAATTTTTTTAAAGAAAGGAGTTGAATGAAGTCTAACTTAAAATTAAACAATAAAACAAAATATAATAAAAAAGCAAGCTAAAAATTCTTCACTTTATATAAGATTTATTATAGCAAGGGAAGTTTTTCTTAATTAAGCATTAAAATTTTCTTAATTAGGAATTCTTCTAGTGTTATTAAAGAATACTTTAGTTGCTATAAACCCAAGCCACTGTAACAGATGTTTACACAACTTGGGTAAGAGCTCAAGGGTGGGTAGGGTTCATATGTCTGAGAAATAGCCAGTGGTGAGATATTTAATGAGGAAAAGTGTTTCATTTTTCCAATGAAAGATTTGAAATTCTTGAAAACAATGTTTTAAAAATATCTTAAAACAGTTATCATGCTCTAAAAATTAACCAACTAAACTGTTTGTTGTTATTTCTCTTTTGAAGTTACAACTTAAAGCAGACGTTGAAACAGTTGATAAATTTAATTATAAATAGTTATTAGTATCTATACATTTGAAGCTTGAAAAAGCTATTTGATGAAATAATCAAGCTAAAGAGAAACTTTATGAAGGGGTTATTTTCAAAATATTTTTCAAATATTTTTATTAAGGATAAAGGGACTTAAATATATGAATGATGACTAGAAAGAAGTATATGTGAACATAGTATTCCCAGAAGAGAGAACTGTTACTAGTAATATAAAAAAGTAAAATTAGCTACATAAACTTTATTAATCTCATGTGAATGTACCCTAGGATCACAAAAGAGAGAACTGTAGGGTCACTTACGGTAAAGTGCAAACCCAGCCCCATCACAAAATATGTGGCCAGTTTCCAAATCTTGCAATGATATTTCTCACCTAGTTGTCCCAAGTATTCCTCAAAGTTTTCACTGGATTCCAGTTTCCAAGTTCCCAAGAAGGGCTCAATCATGATGGAAAGCTTGCAGAGAAGAGGCGCTCACAACCAGAAGCCAAAGAACCATAGGCAACCCAGTGCTACAGCATCTTCATTTAAAACACATCTTCATCACATGACTCTTTCGAAATGGCCAGTGGGCAGCGGCAAGACCAAAGAGTCCAGGCATCAGCATTGACTCATTTTGTCTACCTCCAAATTAAGGAGCAGAAAATTAACATGGGAAGTTGAATTTAGGTCAATGATTATAGCTTCTGGCAAGCAGAGTTATATCCCAGGTCTACCTTCTAAATCTAACTTGTGGAATGGAAACAATTTTCCATATATATCAGCCTTTTGAATTAATGTCTAGACAACTCTGAAGGAATCTCCTGAGAGATGTCTAACAAACCCCTGACTGAGGTGTTGTCCCTCCTGATATAAGGACATCCTTACTTGGCCACACCTCAGCTGGTTTTTTGTTTGCACAAATCACATTACCAGAGAACTCTCTTCATTAAAATAATATCTTCCCCTCCCTTCCCTGAAGGGTTGATGAACTGATTATCAGTTAATGTAACCAGAATATCTATAATTGCTTGGAATGAGGTGTGGGCTATCATTAATTTTATCATTGTTCTTCATCAAGGGTGATTGTGAACTGGGAAGAAAAGTAACAACTATCATTGATTAGTGTTCTGTAATTAAAGCTCAAATTTGGTGGTAGAGCTAATGCTTGTAAAATTCATCTTTTAAACTTACAAAGTAAGCTCAATTTTAAAAAATACCACTTAAAATTGTGAAGGAAAGTTTTCAGAGGAGATACAGTATTTTGATATGTGCATTCTAAAGACAAATAAGCAGATAATTTAAAATCTTTGTGCAATTATGTTTGAAATCATCTTCTGCAACCAAAATAATGGAAGTGAATTTTGCAGGTACTGTGTTTGCTAACAAGGAGTTGAGTCAGAGGTTGCAGATTTACGGCCCAGCCCTGAGCTCCAGTTGTTCTGAAGAAGGCTGGAAAATCAGAAGAAAAATATTCATACTATTGTCTGCCTGTGTCGAATATTCCTTCAATTTAGAGAAATATTTATTCAAACAATCTCTTTGTTAAAAAAACAAAACTTTTTAAAAGGTTGTTGATGTTTTGGCACCACAAGGTTATAAATTAAGTAGGCTAAAGAGCTACTTATAATGAAAACATATAAAAAGGAAATTTATAATGCAGTATCTTCATAGGCAGAATAGTTATTAAAATATCAGGAGTGCAAAACAGGAAGCAAACTCCTTAGAGTCAGTTTCAGGAAACTGAGACCTGGGCTCAAGATAAGTGCCTTCACAGTTGAAATGTCTTCAGAGGTGAGGATCTAATGAAGAGCACTTGACTAGATCTTGCCTAACTGGTAATAGGTGTGTGTGCACTCTCTTCTGGAAGACAGCAAACATACCTGGTTGCGTGTGTTTGCACGAGAGGCTAGTGGGACAAAGGTCTTCCATTGGTGTAACCATCTTTTCTTTAATTCTCCTGCCAGAAATCAATCCTGTGTCCAATTTTAGCACTCAGAAGGCTCATGAGACAAGTGGGAAAGTCAAATTTCGGCTTCTATTGAATGTCCTTACCCCTTGGAGAGCCAGAGGGGTGGTCTCTCTTTGCCTCTACACAGTTTGCTTTCTTGTGTTACCAACTCAAAGATAAAGCCAAAACCGAGAATGGCAGGATCCAAAGCAGGAAGGAACTGAGGCTACTTCATTTCTGAAATTCTTATTATATGAATTAATAAATTCCATTATTATTTAAACAATTTTGTGTCTGAGTTTTTGTCTTGCACCTTAAGCCTAATAGTCAGTGTATCTTTGCAAATAGCTTTCACACAAACGATGAATTTGAATTCTCACAACCAATTACATACAACATAGGATATTAGCCCTCTGTGCACAGCCTCACTGCATCACCTGTCTTTCCAGATCCATTGCCAAAATCTCTGTGACACTGGCTCAGAGCTAGTTGATTGCTATCATGTGATACAACCATATTTTAACAGAAGTTTCTTAGAGAACTTTTCTTATAGTATTTCCAGGAGTTAACCTCCCACTGTCCCCTAAACTACTTTGTGAATTTATCAAGCAAAGAAAATATTTTTTAGTCACCTCTGTATCCCTAAGACATTGCCTGGTATATTGCAGGTGCTCAATAAATGTTTGATGAATAAATGACAAAAGAAATAAACAGTATTCTCTTCTTTATAACTGACAGTTGCCCTCCTTACTGATCCTTGTCTCTCTAACAGTGACTAGAGATAAGATTTGAATACTTTATTCTCACCTGCCCTGCTTGTATGAAGGGCCTTCAGGGATTCTCAGCCTCCCTTGCATTAGCTCAGTGTCTCATTACAACTATGTAAGTCTCCATCTTCGACCAAGGAAGTTCCCTGCTGGTGATACTGCTGCCACTGCCAGCCTTTGGCACCTTTGTTTGAGCATAAAAAACAAACAAACAAACAAACCCCAAAACATTTCCTCAAGTATTAATGTTTCAAGTTAGAATGTTCTTAATTGTTAATCCTAATAAAAGAACTAGAATACAGTAAGTTGTTATAGAAGTTACATGTTTTATTCTCATAATGATTTCAATGCTTATTTCTTCATTATCTCATTTTATATGCTTCTACAATATCTCATTGTCTACATAAACTCTCTTTCCTGTGACACCCTGGATATTAATTATTTTTAATAAATTTTAATTTTAATATACTACATTCTCCATTGGTGAGGCACACTGATAAAGTTACCACCAGAAGCTATAAGTTTTCAGAAGTATGTTTATAATTTATTGCTACATGTATAATATTTTACCTGGACCACACTGGATTTTTTCCTAATTTTTCATTGTGGTAAAATACAACATAAAATTAAGTATCTTAACTAATACAGTTCAGTGGTAAATGCATTTATATTGTTGTGCAACCATCCCACCATCCATCTGCAGAACACTTTTCATCTTGCAAAAGTGAAACTCTGTTCCCATTGAAAAATAGCTCCCTTTTCTTCTTTTCCCCCAGCCCCTGATAACCACCATTCTATACCCTGTCTCTTTGATTTTTATAACTCTAAATACATAAGTGGAATCATGCAGTATTTGGTGGGGGGTTTTGTTTGTGTGACTGTTTTATTTCACTCAGCAAGTCCTCAAGCTTAATCCATGTTGTAGTATATCTCAGAATTTCCTTTAACACTTAATATTCCACTGTATAAATAGACCATATTATGCTATCAATTCAGCTGTTGAGGGACACTTGAATTGCTTCTATATTTTAGCTAAATTCTTATGATCAGTAAATTATCTTTTGGCCTATTGACATGTTGTATTATACATAGGATAGGTGTTCAGAAAATAATGGATGTATTTTTAAAAGAAGTATCACAAACACAATTTTATCAACAAATGTGTGATTGAGCATACATTTTAACAAATGTTAGCTTACTGTAAAATGTAAGTATGTAGTTTAAACATTTCATTCTATGTACACGGAACTCCAATGATCTGGAGAGGTGCCTCAAAGCTTCTACAAGGCAGAAGAAATAACTAACATGCACACATGCACACACACCTACCTGAAAAGTCTCCTTATTATTTTTGTTTGCATTATATATTGGAATTCCATAGGTTTTTTATTTGAATAAAAAATTCCACTGGTGAGAAAAACTTGGAAACCACTTTGAGGACATTGACATCACTACTGATTACAAGGCTGTCACATCATTTCTGGAATAAATATTTTGGAATTATTTGTACTCAATTCTTGAGACTCCAGAGATAACTTGGTTTACCAATAATTTTTCAGATTAAAAACTGCAGCCTAGAAATCTTTTTCTATGACGTGCATTGTTACTTGTCTCTCATTGTTACAGGACTGGTAGGTGTGAATAACAGCACCTGGGCCAGCTGTATTTGTTTTGTTGCACTTCACAGATATTGCGTATATTTTACAAACTGAAGGTTTCTGGCAACCTTTTGTTGGGCAAGTCTGTAGGCACCATTTTACCAATAACATCTGCTCACATAGTGTCTCTGGGTCACACTTCAGCAGTTGCCACAATATTTCAAACTTTTTCATTATTATTATTCTATTTGTTATGGTGACCTTTGGTTAGTCATCTCTCTTGCTACTAGGGCAATACTCTGCCCCAACAATAAGATTACAACTGATGGCCCAGATGATGGTTAGCATTCTTTAGCAATAAAGAATATTTAAATTAAGTTATATACATCTTTTTAGACATAATGTCATTGCACTTTAATAGTATAAACATAACTTTTATATGCACTGGAAATCAAAAATTCATATGACTTGCTTTATTGCTGTCCTTGCTTTATTGAGGTGCTCTGGAACTGAACCCACCAAATCTCCTAAGGCTGTCACGCCCCCTTAACCACAGTTTCACTTTGCACAGTTTTGGGTATCCAAGGACAACTGCAGTAGGAGAATATTAAATGGAAAATTCCAGAAATAAGCAGTTCATCTATTATAAACTGCATGCTATTCTGAGGAGCTTGATGACATCTCACAATGTTCTACTCTATTCCACCTGGGATATGAATCGTCCCTTTGTCTCCCCACCCATTAGCAACTCAGTAGCCATCTTGGATGTCAGATCAAATATGACAGTATCATGGTGTTTGTGTTCAAGTAAGCCTTATTTTACTTAATGATGTCAAATTCACAAAACTTCTATTACAGTACATTGTTATAACTATTTTATTATCAGCTTCTGTTCATCTCTACTGTGCCTAATATATAAATTAAACTTTATCATAATTATGGATGTATAGGAAAAACATAGCATGTATTGAATTCAATACTCTCCATGGTTTCAGGTATCTACTGGGAGGTCTTGGAATGTATCCCTCATGGATAAGGAGAAATTACTGTACTTTAAAAACTATGTCTTAAGTCTCTGCAAGAGTTACTTGACTGAAGATACACTGAAGAACTTCATATTCCATAATAGCATGTTTATCAATTTCCACTAAGACAATGGAAAATTCATGGATATTAATTTTTACCTTGGTTTATTTATGAAAAATCACATCACTTAAACCAGAAGCCAAGCAAGAACATGATTTTCTATTTCTCTCAGTTGTAAGCAAGAAATCCTCTGGCCCAGTGAATAAATCATTACATCACCTTCCAACTCTAAAACCTTTTATTTAACCAATGAAATGCAATCACATAGAATAAAATCAGATTGGCAAAAAATTAGTTGCTTGCTAATTAGTGGGAAGTAGCAATGTATGTTTGGACAACATATCCAACAGAATGGCATACAGTTCGACGTAAATTTCCATCCAGTTCAGTGTCCCTTGGTTTAGGCTCTTTCATAAACTCGGGTAGAAGTGACACCTTTCATGACACATTCCTAGACACAAAAAAAGTTTTGGTCAGTCACAGGTTTGTTTATTGTCTCCTTCAGTGTTGGGAAGGAAACAATACCCATTTGAAAGATATATGTTTGGGCTGTTTTGTATACCTGATGTTGTGATAAATTAGGGAGATATAAAGACCAAAAAGATACAAGTCTTTCCCTTAAGTAACTTTACAATCAGAATGGGAAGTAAGAAATAAAAGGAAATGCATAATACCACATGGTGCATGCTTTGAGGGGTCAGGGAATGCTTCCTGGTGGACAGCATGCCCAGGTTGACCTGTAAGCATGAAGACCAACTATGAAACCATGAACCCAAGAGAATCACTTTTTGTTCTACATATGCAAGATCAAATATCTGTTTGTTTAGGTCAAGTGATAATTATAAGATGGCCTAGCCCTGGCTGGTGTGGTTCAGTGGATAAAGTGCTGGCCTATGAACCAAAGCATTGCCAGTTTAACTCCCAGTCAGGGCACATGACTGGTTTGCAAGCCAGGTCCCCAGTAGGAGGCATGTGAGAGGCAACCACATATTTTGATGTTTCTCTCCTGCTCTTTCTCCCCCGCTTCCCCTATCTCTAAAAATAAATAAATAATAATAAAAAAGATGGGCTAGAAGCAGAAGCTAGCAGCTAGAACATACTCACCACCACAAGTTTATCATCCACTCTCTTTCTCTTTATGGTTGTTGACTTTCCATCCCATTTCTGCACCTGTATAAGGGCACCTCCATCTAAGGTTATGATGCTCTGCAGGTGCAATAAACAATGGTTACACTTTTTACATGGTAGAGGGAAATAAAAAAATGCATCACCTTTGTTTGAAGGAATCTTTTGAGGTCATTAGAAATTATAAATTTAAAAATATATTGCAACAAGAAAATAAATGAATGTCAAAATGTCAAAAACAAAAGCACACAAAATTATATATACATTATGATCAAAATATTATACAAACACATTTGAAAAATACTGTGAAAAATATAGGTAATAAATTTATGTTTAGGTGGTAGTATTATAAGTGATTTAAATATTTTCTCACTCTATAAATTTCTCTAACATTATGTTACTTTAATCCACTTAAATATTGTATATATGGATCTTGGCTCATGTGGCTCAGTGGATTGATCACCAGCCTGAGAACTGAAAAGTTGCTGGTTTGATTCACAGTCAGGGCACATGCCTGGGTTGCAGGCCAGGTCCCAGCTTGGTGGCATATGAGAGGCAACCAATCAATGTATCTCTCACACATTGATGTTTCTCTTTTTCTCATTCTTCCTCATTTCCTCCTCTCTAAAAGTAAATAAATAAAATCTTTAACAAATATATATGGAATGACAAATAAGTTGTTTCTTAAAGTAATAATGACAACTTTATAAAAAGGTATAAAATTCACAGACTAAATATCAGAGGCAACACGGTTTAGATGTAGATCAGGGATCCTCAGCCTGTGGTAGGTGGTTTTTCCTCCTTACAGAATGGCTTCTTGGAGGCAGCGGTTGGTCATTAAGCAACCAGGCTTTTCCTCTGCTCCAATCCCTCTTCCTCACCTTGACTTTTCTGTCATCTGCTGTGACTTCATCAAATTCCTGGCCCAGTCTGAAGGAAATCTCTGTATTCTTAAAGGTACTTTCTGATTTAATGGTGATCACATCCCCATTGACACTGATGATCATGTTGGGTTTGGCCATACCAGCCACTTTCCTGGTGGCAAAGCCTACTCCTGTGGGTGGGAAGAAAAGAAACATCAGGTTTACAATTTTCTCTCACATCTTTAAGAAACAGCTGTAGTATGTCTATATGTGTGCATGTGTGTGTGAGGGTTAGAGCATGTGCATAAAAGGGAAAACTGGTGAGTTTCTTAATTGCCTCTTTTAAACAGCTCCTAAAGACAAGTACAGAGGCTAATATTTAAAGAAACACATGTTCACGCCTGTTAATTCTGTGTTTCTTTAAATATTAGCCTCTGTACACTTGTCTTTAGGAGCTATTTAAAAGAGGCAATTAAGAAACTCACCAGTTTTCCCTTTTATGCAATGGCTCAAGAAGATCTCAAAGCCCCAGAGACCATAAATCTAAACAATGAAGAAATAGCAAAACTTTCAGATGCATAGTTCAAAACACTGGTGTTCAGGAAGCTCACAGAACTGGTTGATTTTAGTCACAAATTAGAGGAACATATGAAGGCTAAACTAATTGAAATGAAGGGAATTGCACAGGAAACCAATAGTAATGGAAAGGAAACTGGGACTCAAATCAAGGGAGTGGACCAGAAGGAAGAAAATAATGGCCAAACAGGAAATTATGAAGAAGCAAGAATTCAAAAAATGAGTAGAGACTTAGGAACCTCCAGGACATCTTTAAATGCTCCAATATCCGAATTATAGGGGTACCAGCAGGGGAAGAGGAAGAGCGACAACGGGAAAACTTATTTGAACAAATAATAAAGGAGAACTTCCCCGTTCTGGAAAAGGAAATAGACTTCCAGGGAATCCAGGAAGCTCAGAGAGTCCCAAAGAAGGTGGACCCAAGAAGGAACACACCAAGGCACATCATCATTATATTAGCCAAGATTAAAATGAAGGAGAGAATCCTACAAGCAGCAAGAGATAAGGGGACAGTCACCTACAAAGGAGTTCCCATCAGACTGTCAGCAGATTTCTCAAAAGAGACCTTACAAGCAAGAAGGGGCTGGAAAGAGGTATTCCAAGTCATGAAATCCAAAGAACCACAACCAAGATTGCTCTATCCAGCAAAGCTTTCATTTAGAATGGAAGGACAGATAAAGTCCTTCTCAGATAAGACCAAATTCAAGGAGTTCATCATCACCAAGCCCTTATTATATGAAATGTTAAAGGGACTTATCTAAGAAAAAGAAGATAAAAAAGATGAACAGTGAAAGGACAGCAAACTCACAGTTATTAACAACCACATCTAAAACAAAAGCAAACTAAAAGGACAGCTAGATCAGGAGTGAAAACATAGAAATGAAGATCTCATGGAGGGTTAGCAACAGGGGAATGGGAGGAGGAGAAGGGGGAAGAAGGTACAGAAAATAAGTAGCATAGACGGTAGGTAGAAAATAGATAGAGGGGCAAGAATGGTAGGGGAAATATAGAATCTAAAGAACGTGAGACACATGGTCATAAACTAAAGAGGGGAAATGGTAGGGGCAGGGGTGCAGGGTGGAGGTGAATGAAGGGGAGAATAGAACAACTGTAATGGCATAATCACTAAAATATATTTTTTTAAATTTTATTTAGTTATTTTTCAAGTACAATTTTTTGTCTATTTTTCACATCCCACCCTCCCCCGCCCCTTGCTCCCCACCTCCCTCCCATTTCCACCCCCCTTAGTTCTCATCCCTGTGTCCTTCCTATTTGTTCCTCCAAATCCCTACCCCCTTTTCCCCCTTAACTTCCCTTCCTTCTCCCCTCTGGTCACTGTCCCCTTGTTTTCTATTTCAGTGTCTTTGTTTTTTTTTTTTTTGTTTCCGCTTGCTTGTTTGTTTTGTTGTTTAGCTTCCTGTTAAAGGTGAGATCATATGGTATTTGTCTTTCAGCACCTGGCCTATTTCACTCAGCATAATGCTTTCCAGTTCCATCCATGTTGTTGCAAAAGGTAGTAGCTCCTTCTTTTTCTCTGCAGCATAGAATTCCATTGTGTATATGTACCATAATTTAAAATTAAAAAAAAATAAATAAATAAAAAATGATGAAAAAAAATAAAATAAAGAAACACATGATGTGCAATTAGCTAGAGATTTGTTCTTTAAATTTTCCCTTTGCAGTTCAGATGCAGCTCCTCAGGAGACCCACTGTTAATTTCAACAAGAATATGTACAAAGATGAAGTCTTCTAAAATGTATGTATTTTTAAAAAGCCACTGTATTCTCATATTAAGTGTCCATCACAGCCATTAAGGCATTACCTGTCATTTTGTTCAATTCATGAAACACTTGGGAGCACTGTGACCTTTTTTTCTTAGATAAAAGTGATCTAATCACAATCAAAGATGGAATTCTCAATAGGATATTGGGGTCCATATAGAGTTACTCAGAAATCACCTCTTTGTGTGTCCAAAACTTACATTTGCATTTCATGGCACTTGCTGCCCTCCTAGTTTGTTAACTTTTTCATATTACTCTATCACAGAATGAAGATTTTGATGAATTTCTCCACAGGCAAAATGTTTTCTACATTTATACCATTTTAGAATGGTGACATGGCTCCCAAAAATTATAAGAAAGGCTAAAGAGGATCTAGGTATAAATTGTAAAAACCTCAAAATATAACAAATCGCTATTTTATAAGTTTAGTAATCAATACTTTGATTCCCAGTCACCTAAGTTACAAATTCTCTTTTAAAAAAAAGAGCAATCTACTCTTCTTGTGGAGGGTATGGGATAAACAATTTACCACCCAACAGACACAGCAGTAACTTGAACTGACTGCATGTGTGATACAGAATTTACTATGGTCAATGGATGTATTGGATGTTTTTAACACCTGTATATAAATCTAAGCTAGTTCTTTGACCAAAGGTTGCTTATAGATACTAAAGGTTAGAAATGGGGGATCATGGAGAGAAATACTGAAGAAAACAGGTGGTGCTGAGGCTCTGATTTAGCTCCCTGGTGAAGAAGAGAATATGTTGCTTCATCAAGTCCTGACTCTGTTATCAAATTCAGGGAGTGAGCCAGCACAGTGACTGGATGTAACACCGAGTGTGATTCCAGAGTGGCCACCCATGGGCAAAATCATACTCTCCACTTGCCAGAATCTGTCCTTATTTGGTTGATGAAGGTGATACCTGCTTACCCATTATCAATTAAAGTAGCTAATTTCAGGAGTTAGCTTATTGTCCTATCATCATACTTTCTAATTTTAAAACACATTAGAAGAAGAACTTAAATATAAATATTAAAATGTAAAATATTTTTAAAATTTCATAGGTAAATAGCCTCAAGTCTTGGCATTTCTATATCAACACACATTAGTTTATTGAATCAAAGTTAATTGATATTCTAGGAAATTAGGTCTCACTCATGCTGAAGTTTCTGATTTCTCTCTTTCTCCATAAACAAGGAAAACAGTACTTATAGACAAGCAAAAATATTCTATATAACTTGGGGGAAGGTTAAATATTAAAACTTATGGAGTAAATCATAACCCCTAATAAAGATATTGAGTGGAATTTCTTCCCAATTTGCCCCCTGGATATGACTTGATCATGCACAGGGCAGGGGGGACTTTCAAGGTGAACAAGCCTAAAGGTGGGAATCTGCCTCCTTACAATCTTGCTTTTCCTCTTTAATTACTTGAGGAATCTTCTCATAGCACACTGGCAATATTAGCAGTATCTAAAAACCCAGAAGCCTCCGCTATCAAAGAGGAGGCATGTTATATATGTAACATTCTCCTTTTAAATTACTCAGTAATTCTATGCATCCATGGATTTTCCAGTCAAAGAACTATTTAAGCTCTCTAGGGAACTTGGTCTCTAAAATTAAGATTTTTGTTCCCATAAAACCACCGCATATTTTAATGTATTAACATTAAGACAGTAAAGTAATTGGTCAACATAGGTTTACTTTAAAAATCATATGAAGATGAGAAATACAGTGCTTTCAGTGTCAAAGGACATTATTGCATGCTAGGAAATAAATACAGTTTTATGTCCAAGTTATTGCTTCTTTTTATGCAAGAAAAGCAGGGAAAGAGCCAAGTAAACCAAAGATACCCAAGTTTAGCAATCAAATAAAATCTTTTCATTTCTATAGACTATAAAAATTCCATTTAGACCCTTTTTCATATTGATTAGTTCACCTGATATTGTGACTTTGGTCTACAATGTTTCTACAAACAAATGATTCTCAGGTGCTATTTTTATAGTCTTGATATGGAAAGCAGCATTTCATATCTGGACAATGCTTCCAGAGTGGAAAACAGCCATCAGTCCCTTTTCCCCAAATAAAAAAGTATAAATACAGTCCTCCCACCACTCATTTACTTACCCACTTCTTTCATGTAATCATCAAAGTTTTCACTGGAGACAAGTCTCCAGGTACCTACAAATGCATCACACATTTTGCAAGCTGTCTAGGATTATTCTGCAGGGTGGGAAGAAGCTGCAGCCTTCAGGAAGGTGCTGTGCTTGGCTGAGTCCAATTAAGGTCCTTTTAAAGATGCCCAGAACATGTGACCTGATGAAAGACCAATTAGGAATGATATCAGAGCATTTCCTTCATTACCAGACTCTGCATTTTTCCCTTCTGAATCATGTTTTAATAGAAATTTCTCAACTTTGTTTCTCCCTGGCAAATGGTCATTGGACCGAGAGTGCAAATTATTTTTAACCACTTACAGAATGTTTTAACATGCCTGTTTTGATGGTTTTAATACTCAGTGTACTATATTTCCCCCTATTATTTTCATATATCTTTATCCCAGTGTAGAGCAGAGCAGGGAAATTGTCTTTGGGATAAACTTTGACCCCCTCATCTGGAGTTTATATTAAATTACAATTAATTGGTTCTTTTGAATTAGGAACATAAAAATTACTTTGGGGATTTTTAAGTAATTGCAAAGGCTGTTTGGGACAGTACTCTCAGGGAATTACCTGGCAATTAAAACCAAATAAGTAATGGTGTTTAAAAGTACCCTAGGTTTCTCATTTTAAATGTTTTACATAGATAAAAAAGAAAAGTAAATTCAGTTAATCCACTAGCAGTCTGGACTGTAGATTTAACTGATAAACAATAATTTTGCTTCACTCTTTCATTCTCTAAATGGGAGCATAAGTAACTGATTGATTTCCACAAACTCTTTAAAAAACAGCTCTCAATCCAAAAATATAATACTCATACTAATAAAATGCTATTCATTCCCTAAATTACATTATAATCCTTCAATTTATTCAGATTTAAAAGATGTCACTTTACTGAAAATGATTAGAAGTGGTCTGGTCAGAAACTATCAAAATTTTATTTACTTCATTCACATAGTGAATCATCTATGAGATGACTTTTCAAGAGTAGTCATGGTTTTCAATTCTGCCTTACCATACCAGAATGCTCAAAGATGGTTATGTGTACAACAACTCCCACAAACAGCTAGATTTTAGGAAAGAAAAAAGTAGTGGAATATTGTGAAGGGATATGAACCACTGATTTGTGTTTCCACTGAAGAGTATTCGCTGAATGCATGATCAATTTGACTGATTCCCATACCCATGCCAGTGTCCTGAAAGATTCCCAAAAATGTTTGTGGAAGAGGATACAATAGTAATTTTTTAACTGTTGCATTTGTTATCAATGCAGTGATTTTTGTCTGTCCACTGTGGATGGCTTTATAGACTCAGAGACTGCAGATGGTGAACCACTTCAGGGGCAAGATTGCTACTATAAATTCCCCTGTTGACCACTGAACAAGTAAATAAAAATGACTGATCTTAATACAGAGATAATTTTGTGTCATGTTCCAAATTAATAATGGTTTACTTTTGTGTTTGTTTTTGTTTTGTGGTGTTTTGCTTTTAAAACTATTTTTAGAGAAGTTTTAGGTTTAAATGTCTCTTTTTTCTTCCTTTCAGAAAGTGGCAGATAATTTTTTAAAATCCTCACCTGAGGACATGCTTATTGATTTTAGAGAGAAGAAGGGAAGTGGAGAGAGAGGGAGAAAAACATCGATGCCAGAGAGATACATTGATTGGGTGCCTCTTGTACATACCTGACTGGGGGCTGAACATGAAATCTAGGCATGTGCCCCAACTGGGATTCAAACCCACAAACTTTCAGTTTACATGATGACACTCCCACCAACTGAGCCACACTGGGCAGGGTAAGAAGTTCTAAGTTTACAAAACATTGAGAGAAGGGTTCAGAGATTTTCCATATACCTACTGTCCCTCCACTGCACACATGCATAACCTCTCCCATTGTCTACATAACTAAGAATCGTACATTTTTTAAAATCAAGAATGAACCTACATTTATTGACACATCATTAATCACCCCAAGTCCATGGTTTACCTGAGGGTTACTCTTAATGCTGTAGATCCTACAGGTTTGGACCAATCTATATGTCATCATTATAGTGTCACACAGAGTAGTTTCACTGCCCTAAAAACCCCCTGTGCTCTACCTACTCACCTCTCTCCCACCACTCACCCCCCACCATTGTCATTTTTACTGTCTCCATACTTTTGCCTTTTTCGGAATGTCACAGAACTGGAATCACACAATAAGCAGTAAGACTGCTTCTTTCACTTAGATGCATCAAAGATTTCTCCATGTCTGTTTTTGGATTGATGGTTCATTTCTTTTCAGTGCTGAATAATATTCCATTGTCTGGATGGACCACAGTTTATTTATTCATTCACCTACAGAAGGACATCTTGGTTGCTTCCAACCTTTGCAGCTAAGGCTAAGCTTCTATAAACATCCACATGCAAGTTTTTATGTGGACATAACTTTTCAAGTCTTTTGTGTAAATACTAAGGAGCATCATGGCTGGACAGTAGGGTAGGAGTATGTTTAGGTTTGAAAGAAACCACCAAACTGTCTTCCACAGTGGCTGCACTATTTTGCATTCCTACCAGCAGTAAGTAAGAGTTTCCTGTGCTCCACATCCTCATCAGCATTTGGTATTGTCAGTTTTTTGGATTTTAACCAGTCTAATAGATGTGGAAGGGTATCTCATTGTTGTTTTATTTCGCATTTCCCTGATGACATATTATGTGGAATGTATTTTCAACTGTTTATTTGCTATCTGAATATCTTCTTTGGTAAGGTATTTGTTAAGGTCTTTGGCCCATTCTTTAAAATGTATTAATCTTTTTTATTTCAGAGAGTAGAAGGGGGGAGGTAGGAAAAGAGAGAGACAGATTTGTTGTTCTACTTATCTATGCATTCATTTGTTGATTCTGGTATGTGCCCTTACCAAGAGTAGAACCCACAAACTTGGCATATTAGGACAATGCTCTAACCAAATGAACTACCCGGCCAAGACTTTGGCTCATTTTTTAACTTGGTTGTTTGTTTTATTATTGTTGAGGTTTTTTAAATTAAATTACATTTGACATATAACATTGTACAAATTTAAGGTATACAACATGTTGACCTCTATCATGTTACATAATTATCCTTTCTTCTTAGTGATTAAAATTATTAAGTTTTTAGTGTCTTGGCAAGTTTGATGATTATAACACAATATTGTTTATATACACTACACTGTTCACTAGGTCTCTGGGGCTTATTTACTACTCCTATTGTTGGGTTTTTAAAATACTTTGTATATTTTGGATCACAGCCTTTTACCATATGTGTCTTTGCATGTATTTTCTCCCAATCTATAAATAATGAGTTTTTTTTTGCAAAATCTATGTTGATGTGTTAATTTAAGTAACAAATTGTTTGAGTCAGATCTTCAAATGATTATCACATTGAATATGTATCACATGTATTGTAACACTGCAATTTAAACATTATTTTAAGGATGGACTGTCCAATATTGTCATTCTTGTTGATATTGAACACTTTAAATGTAGCTAGTGTGACTGAGAAACTGAGTATTTAACTTTACTTAATCTTAATTAGAATTTAAGAAACAATCATTAATTCACTTATTTAAAAAATTTTAAACATGTTTGAAAGAACTTGGTTATGTGAATCTACTTTTCAAATATAAATGTTATAAAATCTGAATATCTATCAAACATTTCAAAAGAAAATTTAGAGTCTGAATTGAGGTGTACTGTTACTATAAAATACAAGCTGAGTTTTGAGGACAATATGAAGTAAAAGTATAATGTTTAGCTAAATTTTTATATTGATTATATGTTGAAATGACAAATTTTAGATATTTTGGGTTAAACAGAATATATTACAAAAATTAACATATTTCTCTTCTACTTTCTTAACACGTAAACTAGAAATTTTAGATAACATGTGGCTCCCATTATGGTCTATGGGCAGCATCGTTTTAAGGACCATTGTGACACCACATTCATCAGAGTATGTAGCAGGTGGGTCAGGCAATTTGCTAACCACTTGGGGGGGGGCGTTCAATTATGAGCAAGTCACACCAGACACCTGCTTGTTTTCACAGAGTCTACATTCCAGTACCAGAGAAAATAATATACAAATTAATAAACCAATTACAGGTAGGGATGTGTTTCAGTGAAAACAGAAGGTGCTATCTGTCACATGAGTGCTGTGAGGGTTGCAACACTAGATGGGGAGTCCAGGAAGGTTGGTCAAAGGAGGTAAACAATGAAGTTGATAGACATCAACTTCATGAACAGCTGAGGGAATAACATGACATATAATCAGGAAAATGTACAAAAATAATTCATTGTTACAACAAGCAGGTTCCATCCTGCTTATTAAATATCCTCCCAAGTACTAATGCAGGGAGTTCAAACTAACCAAAACTTTAGTGTTCATCCTTTCTTCAAAACTAGCAGAAATTATACTATTCATATTTTCAAACCTGATTTCATTGCATAAAGCACAGAATGGCAAATAATTTTCACAAAAGAATTTTTTGTGACCCTACTATGTCCAAGGCACTGTGCTAGGTACAGTGAGAGACTATAATAATAAATAGCATGTGATTTCTGTCTTTTCTTAATGATCCAAATTCTATTCTAGTTACCAGCCCAGGGCCAAATTAAAATACAAAGCCTTCTTAGATATTTTATTTGACGGTCATCTTAATATGAGCATTTTTGATTTTGCACATGAGGCACTTACTTCTATTCTAATTTCAGCACACTTTTATCATCTTTCATTAGCATAAAGTGTGTAAAAAATAAGTGACAACTTCATCCCAGTCTCCCCTCTTTCCTGACCTCCTCTCTCCATCCTAAACTTTATATTTTATTCATGACTTAATGAATAAAATATAGCACCTTACCCATTTCCCAAATCCTTGTCAGATTAAGGCATTGATTAACAGAAGGAATGAGGTGTGGGCTTCAGGTACATGTAATGCTAGGTGGTCAGGCCTGAGTTTTAGGCCAGTGCTCATGGTAGAAATCTGTGTTTGGCAAAGATAGAATGGCACTAGAAAGAGTGATTATAGGGCATACAGGTAGCAGATATAAATTCTCTTACAAAGCACGAGTTAAGAGATAGCAAGGTGCTGAGCAAAGGGAATGGCA